AGGCACCCAGACTCTCTGCGAGCCATGATCAATGATTGTATTTGCTGGACTTGGTTTTATTTTGCTTTCAATTCGAGGCTCATTCTCAATTGTATTTTCTCTCTTAGTTTTTTGTTGTTGCAGCATTTCCTAAATTACACTGGAAATGTATCCTAGAGCCTTATTAGTTATTTACGCAGCAGGCATATACAGATTTGTGTGTGCGTATATGTGTGTGTGTGTCTGTGTGTGTGTAAATGTGTTTATGCAAACGCCCTGGCAGCATTTGTGCAGCTGCGACTGTTGTTGCTGCCTCGCCCCTCGCCCCTGGCCCTGTCCCAGCCCCTCCCCCTTGCAGCAGATTTATTGCCCGCAGTAGTTTTTAGTGCTTTGCCTTTGTTTCGCTTTATTTTGCAGTGTGTTTTTGCAATTGTTAAGAGTTTACGGCGTTTTTGCTGCGGCTGCACCATTTCGCACACTGTTTGCACCACGAGCGCCGTCCCGCAAGTATTTTTGTTGCATATTTATTTGGTTGGCGCGTTGCGAGTGGCAGCCAAAACATTTTTGTGTGGCAGTTTGCGATTTTGTCGTTGTGATTTTACTCTTTTGCTCTTGTTCCTTTTTTTTTTGCTGTTTTCTATATTTTTTTCTCTTTTTTTTTCGTTTTATTACAGTTGCAGCTTAATTAAACGTGAAATATTGAATTTCCAGATGGTTGCGTGTATGAAATTGCGACTACGCATAAATATCGGATGAGATACAGTAAATCATCGTAAATATTAGAAGACAAACAGCTTAAAATATGCAAGTATATACACAGGTATTTGCATGCATATGTGTGTGTGTGACTGACAAGTCGAAATGTGAACACATCAAATATGACTAAGAAATATTTTCAATTAAAATTGACGCCAACTGCAAATGAATCTCTGTGTTTGTGTATTTGAATACAATCTTGGTTAATCAGCGTAATTAATAACCAAACAGAACTTATTTCAAGAGCCTTGACTGTATCTCAAGCGACGGCACCCATAAGCAGATTAAAGGGCAAAATCCTTGACCAGCTGAGTAAGCTCTCATTGTTATTCGAAGCCCCATTACCTCCACTCAGATTGCTCACTCGACCTATATAATAATGGGTCATATCGTCTCTTAGTTAAAATACTTTATATACACACAAGCCAAACTCTAGTCTCATTGTCTTAGACATATGTCAAGCATGTCTTGTCTCTCTTTCTCATTTAATCACGCGGTCAGCACGAGCTATCCCATAATCAGCTTAAGCATTCTGAAGCAGGTATTTTGCTGTAATTAGTGCGATTAATCAACTCTTATTTGTTAAATTAAATTAAAAAGTACGAATGTGCTCGCATTTCCACTCACTCCGTCTGCAGCACTTGTGCATAGTCGTCTGCTGTTTTTTGGCAGCCCACAATTGCACTAATTGGGCAAATTATTCCAGCTATTTGGGAAAACTCACAGCTATTTCAGCCAGCATCTTGTTGTGTGGGACACTCACACATAGACACAGCATTCCGGCCTTGCCGAATTACGCTAATGATAAATAAATTATGCGATGCCAGCAACACACACACACAAACGAATCATCCCCGCCTCACACCCCATTCCCAGGCCCCGTCCCATTCACGCCCTTAGCCATGCCCTCGCTGTGCCGCTCCACAGCAGCTAGAACAAACCGCAAACAGAAAATAAATAAACTCGTTGGCAATGCCGAAAGATAAGTATGCGCCCCGTGGCCCCGGCACACATTAAGGCACTTGGATGATGGTGGGAGGTGGTGGGGAGGTGTGGCAGTAGAGCGAGGGCGGGGCAATACTGAAAGCAAACGCACATGCGTTAATAAACAAAATCTGTTGCTAATGTACAAAATAAGTTAATTATGGAAAAGCAAAATGCGCTGATGGTGACAACTTTTGCAGCTTTTGAAATTCAAGCTGCCATTTTGGCTACAGACGTATGCGTGTGTGTGAGAGAGAGAGTGTGTGCGTGTGTGTGTGTGGGTGCTCAGTTGTTATTGCAGTGGCACTGGCATTAATGTGCTTGTGATGCGCTTTGCTTGTTTGTGCACGATAATTGTATTTTATGGCAGCAAACAACAGACGAGCATCAGACGGACAAACAAACAAAAATAGATCCAGCTGGCATTGCCAAGCCCGATTCATTGTTGAGGTCAGCTCGGCACACGGCCAACAGCCGCAACAACAAACATTACAGATTACAAATTGCATTAATAATAAACAAATACAGACACAGACCAAATCAAGCCCACCTGACCACCTGCCCACCTTTTCAGCCATTTCAACTCACTGTTTAGACCATTTTTACGAGCTGCAAATTGTTTTTGGCCAAAAATCGCCAAAACATATTCATCATGTTTATCAACGCATGCGACGCACAATTCGAAATTTATGCGGCAAAAATATTCATGTGCACAAACCGTGAAATTTGCATATTTTATTTGTAATTTGTTAGCCGCTTGTCAATATTATTTTGCAATTAAAATTTAATTATATTTTCCCCAAATGCGTCATTTTATTATTTGTATTTTGCTGATTGCTTTGCCCCAAACCCATGCCACCTGCCTCCTGCCACCTGCCTCCTGCCACCTGCCTCCTGCCACCTGTCTCCTGCCACCTATCACCTGCCTATTGCAGCAAATTTATTTCACGCAATACGGACGACAGTGTCAGTCAGAGTTCGACTGACCAAATTATGGCTGATGGTCCGTGTGGATTAAAACTAACATACATATATGTATGTATGCATGTATGTATGTATGCATGTATGTATGTATGCATGTATAAATCGCCTAGCATGCGGCTTGCGCATGCATAAATTTCGCATACAATTTCCATTGCTCGCCATTCTAGTGGCAAATCAAATCAGTTTTATTATTATCTGTTGTTTTTGCTAGTGCAATATGTCATCGATATTGAATTAATGTCGGAAATCCGCTGCTGCGGAAGAGCTGAACACATTAAATTCAGCTTTGTGCTTCAGTTTATTCTTAGCTATCAAATTCTATTTAGCTAGATGCCCATTAGCTGCCTGCATTAAGTGCTTTAATTTATAAACTATCGCACTAAATTCCTTCTGCTAAAGATTCTCAGGAATGTAGAGCAGCCCTACTCACACTCTCTCTCTCTCTCACTCTCCATGAACAACCGAAAACAATAATCCCATTGAAATCAACAGCACAGTTGCCGCCCTGCTGAGTCCTTAAGCGATTCACTGTTCATTAGCGACCACGTGACGAATTGAGATTGGTGATGATGCTGTGCCAGTGGCAGTGGCAGTGGCACTGGCAGTGGCAGTGGCTGTGGCATTGGCGATGCTTTGAGTGGCAAATGAGCAGCTTCTAGGTTGGCGATGCCATTAAAAACTTTTTACAAGCGTTAAGCATCAACAAGAGCGACGACAACGATTGCCATTGAGCAGCACTCTGGATGGGGCTCTGATTTCGACTTCTATTTCGATTGCGTTGCGTTTACGGAATGTCATCGACAGTCAGTCAGCGGGCTGCAGTCTATAGCCCGTCTATATACAGCTAGCTGTCTATCAGTCGATCAGGCGCTTGGTCGGTTTGTCTGATTGCCTGCCAAGCCATGCCAAGCACATCGCCGCCTGTCACTATGGCATTGTCACCTCCTCCACTAGGCAGCAGCAGCAGCAACAGCAGCAGCATCAGCAGCAATGCCGCCCCCTTTGACTGGCTGCCTGACTGCTTGACTGCTTGGCTGCTTGGCTGTCAATCCTTTTAATGGTTTGCCGCTTTTAATGTCACCCGCTCTCAAGTGGATTTCGAATACTTCGTCAATCGTGTGGCCCATTTGCCGTTATCAAGTGGCCACGCTTCTTCTTCATTGTTGTTTTCTTGTTGTTGCTTTATTTGTATTTTATTAAAGCAAAAGTATTTGTTTCAAATGTCATTCGCTGCATCTCAGCCACTTCACTGCTATTAGAGTGGCTTTTATATCTGCATTTTAAGAGTGTGACACTCTATGTCTGTCTCTCTGTCTGTCCGTTAGCTATTGTTCAATCGTATTGCCCGACAGCCATTTAATTGTGAAGCTCTAGAAGTTCCCTAGATTGCTATGGCTGCTTATAGCTGGAAAATGGCTGCAATTATCATAGCCCTATGAGCTGCAGACAAACAATAACTTTTGCTAATAGAATAAACAGAGCTATCTCTGTCTCTGTCTCTATTTTACACTGTCTCTCTGTATCTCTCTTACTCTGTCTCTCTGCCTCTCTTTCTATATTGTTATAATACAGTAGAGTATACAAAATGATCATTAAATGATGCATTTCATAAATTAGACTTGAAATAGTTTCGTTCGTAAAAGAATTATAATTGACTTGAATTGAGAATGTTAATAAGTTTATGCTATTATATAATTGTGGGTCCTAATAGCATGTTTTATACTTATTCAAAATGGATATTCTGTGAAATAAATTAAAGTACATGCAACAGATGGGTTCGTGGCTGTAGCTACTAAATATGTATTATTTATCTATAGTTTATTTATTATTAATAAATCAGAATCATCAGCCAAATCGATCTAATCTAAAGATTCTTTCACTCTTCTTTCTCGCAATTGTGCTTTGCTTTTATATAGCTTACATCTGTTTTTGTTTTTAATGTATTTTATTTAATGTGTTTTTTTGTGTGCTTTGCGCTGATATAAAAATTTCAAAAAAAATTATACTTTATATAGAGATAACCTTAGATTATTGCAAACGCTCTTGACTATTGTTTGCTATAATTTAAGGTCATCTCTTCGTAATAATATAAAAAAATTTAAACATATATATAAAAAACATGTTTTTATATATACATATATCTGATATATATAGATCTCATATAGCTGAACAGTAAACCAAAAAAAGATTCTTGGATGAATTTTCCATTTTCAACATTTAATTTTAGCTCTGCCATGAAATTCTTTCTATTTTCTTTATCATATAATATAAGAAAATTAAACAAGGTGCCAACTTACCCATTGTTGAGAGGGCGAGGATCAATACCACGGCATGCCAGATCAAGCCGCTTCTCGCCTGGGCGGTCCACCCGCTGTGGCGTCGCTGTCGCGACTGTCTAGCTCCGTGTCCCATGATTGCGTCCATGGGCTGCTCTGTCATTTGGCTTGCAGTGGCTGACAGGCCGTTGGGCATTTGGCGCAGCAGCAACATGATCGGGGTCGGGCCGTATCTTTCACTCGCAGACAGGCAACATTTGCCGCTCATTCAATAAACACTTCAACTTCACACGCTGCGCACAGAGACTGTTTACAGTTAGCGATTGGGGAATATGCGAATTATTAATGCGCGTTGAGGGAGCAAATCGCTTTGAATGTTCGGCGGGTTAGCTCGTCCGTCCGTCAGCCGCAGCGGCTGCCGCCACTCGAGTTGCTGTTGGCCCCCAATAAGCGGCCGGATAATTTCGAAATTGTTATTTGGCTCTCGCGACTCTGACTCGAGAGTCGAGCGTCGAGCGTTGGGCTGCACTGAAAATTTGCTTTTGATTTGCACTTTTCGGATTTTCACATTTTTTGCTCCGTTTGGTTTCGTTCGCTTTCAGTTTACAACTCAATTTCCGGCTTTTAATTGTTTTTCGTTTGTTTGGACGGCGCGCCGTCCATTTGGCCGCAGTCGCTCACTTAACACAGATTATAATCCACGGAATTGAATTGAATTTAATGCGGCAACAATAATATTCGCTCTTGCGGTGCGTCTCCACTAATTGTCGGTGTGCATCCAGCTGTTGTTGCCGGAAGTGCGCTGCAAGTGCAAGAATAAACACTGTTGTTTAGCTACAGTTGTTGTTGTTGTTGATATTGTGATGGACATAAAACCAATTCGATTCGAGAACAGACAGAGCTGGCGAACGACTGGCCGCACACACGCAATTTGCCGGTCTGAAGCGTGCCTAGGACAAGTTGACAAACGACTGAAAACTGTTTGTTGTCGCCTCCGCTGGCAGCTCACGCGGCTCCGAAACACACCCCAAAAATAATTGCGTGACGTAGGCGGGCCGCGCAATCCCAAAATAAGAATGTTGCCAGCCCTAGCAACAATGCTGCTGAGCAGTGTTGCTAAGCATGTTGCCAAGCAACCCAACCCGATGAGAGAGCGCCTCTAGCTGTCGCTCGAGCAGCCGCAGCAGCAGCAGCAGCAGCAGCAGCGGCAGCGGCAGGGGCAGCAGACAGGAAACAGCGCTAAGCAAACATGACAAGCGATCATAAATATTATGTTGCAACATCAAAAAATAAATAAAACGAAGAGCAAAACAAAACAAGACAAAACAAAGCGGAATAAGCGGCTCAAAAATAATAATAAAAGGCATAAACGAGATTCGCTTGAATTTGCGCAGTGGCAACAACAGGCGCAGCATGCGCCGCTTTAAGCATCAGCGAATGCGTTGTTTTTGTTTATAATAATGAGACTGTGCACAAGTGGCTCCGCATGGCACTTGAACCCCAGCTGCTGCTGCAAGGATAAGTGTGCGACGCCTTTCAGGCTCACACACACACACATGCACACATGTTGCCTCACTCTCTGCACATCACATCAAGCGCTATTTTAGCTGCCACTCAATGTAGCTGCTGCTGCTGCTGAAGTCGCTGCGGCAGTTTGTTTATTTAAGTTTCAATTACTCAGCTGCCCTCAGATTGACATGCATTCAAGCCAGAAATTTGCAGCCTTTGTTGCCCTTCGCTGAATGCACGCCTTTGTGCTCGCCCCGCACTCACATCGGAGAGCATAATCGCCGCCGCACAAGTGCCTGACTGACTGAGCTAGCTGTGCTGGCGGTCGCACATCATTAATAAAATGCCACTTTGGTGCACCTCGGCCCGTGCCAGTGCTGCTTGGCTCTCGAGTGCACTGACTTCAATTGGCAAAAAACATTTTGCCGAGCATTCATAACGCTCATTAGCAACCAGAGCTCAGCTGCTGCCACACTCCAGCAGCGTCTTGGTGGCCACATCAAATAGCCTTCTTTATGAAGCACACACACACACTCACACACTCTCTGCACTCGTCGTGGCCAATGGCAATGGCACTGGGACTGGCACTGGCTAAAGCAGCTTATCGACTGCAGCAGTTGCTTCATTCAGCTTTTATGGCTGCCTGCACACCTTAATACACGGCATAAACAGATAAAAACGAAAACATAAATAGCATTATACATATTTATATACACCCAGCACACACACCCACACACACCCACACATACAGAAACACCCAGCAATATGTACCATATATGGCAGAACATGCCCATGCACTTAGCTATTTTATTGGGCTACACGGAACCCCTTGACAAGCGCAACACGTGCGATTTGAGAATTTTATAAAAGTGTTTATTGGCCCGCTCAACTGTCGTTGTGCTCGCCGTTGTTGTTATTATGTTATTATTTAGCCAGGAGACAGACATAAGAAAACGACAGCCAGGGGCAGCTCTACCCTACCTCAGCTCTACCCCAGCTCTACCCCAGCTCCACCGTGTGCACGTCATGGCGCTGACATTGACGACGCCTGCGACGCTGTGAACGACAAATTTTAGTGCTTCAATGAAAATTGAAACACATAAAAATGCGTGAAAAACACACACACACAATTAAGTGTGTGTGGAGGGTGTGGCATATGCCACAGGCAGCCCCTCCCCGACTATATGTATGTATATTAATGTGTCGCCTGTTGGGATCTTTAATTACAACTTTGTTATATGTTTCCGCTTTCAAGGCCAAATTGTCCAGGCCCTCTCTATATGGTTCCTGTGAATTTGTATCGTTGTAAGCTTAAGTACTTCCATTAATGAAATGTGACTAGGAATAAATTAAAGCTTCAAGTTTAAGGAATTTTTTATAATTTAATAATGATAATGATAACAATAAATAAATGACAAGCATATTGCCAAGCAATTAATACTTTAATAAAATAATAAATATAATAATATACCATAAAAATAATACTTATAATAATATTCAAATTATTAATAATAATTAGAAATAAATAAATATTATAAAATTCAGAAAATACACATATGGTCAAATTAATAGGTGTGAAATATTTTTTGTGAAAAAATGGTGATAACGTCTATATTTTTTCAAATATTTTAAAAACTCAACTGGCATTCAAAAATAGACATATCTTAGAATAATAAAAGCAAAAAAAAGTTTAAAAAAATAATAACGGTTGATATAATTTTGGCAAATATCACAAAATACTCAAAATTTTGCTGGCCACATTAATAGG